AGGAAAAAAACTGGTCCCTGTGGATACGAATGTTAGAATTGGTAAAGAAAAAGACCATAAACCTGCAACTTATCAAGGTTAAGGCACATTCCAATGATCCCTACAATGAAGAAGCAGATGCCCTAGCCAAAAAAGCTCTAAAACTCCCAGCAATAGAATGGAAGAAGCTGATCTCATACAAGATCATCATAGAAATTAGATGGAAAGAAAAGATGCTAGATGACCTTATAAGACAGTTTGTCAAAAGAATAAACAATAAAACAACTGCCTTCCAGTGAACACAACAAAACAGAACTGAAAAAAGATGGAGCCATCAAATTATAGAACAGCAAGATTATACTTGGGACCTTATATGAGAAAGAATGAAATAAGGACATACTTGGGACACTTTCTTTAAACAATCGCAGTGAAAAAGCTTTCTCATAAAACTAATGAATGACAAACTATCAACTCTGAACAAGTTGACAACTAGAAGGCCCGACCTTTACAAACAAGTGAAGTGTATTGCATATAGTCAGCAAAGTGAAACTCTCGAACATTTATTAAAATGTCCAGCATTCAAAAAACAACTACAGAAGCATGGAATAAAGGACAAGATAGGATCCTTAGAGACTTCAGTGGGCTCTTACAAGAGAGGAAAAAAGAGGCAGAAGAAAAACATACAAGGTTGCTTATCCAAGATGAAGAAGAAATGGCTGAGGTGGATAAATGGATCTCCAAACTGGTAGAACAGATCTCAAAAACCAGTCAGGACACTCTAAGTTTTTGTACAGAGCTAGTAAGGAGAGACCTAATCCGAGAAATGGAAGATCTAAAATGCCATGGAAAAAGAATTGGTAATAAGGCAAGAAGATAGATATCAAAGATGCAAAGAAGAGTGTGTATCAAATAAGGAAAAAGATTTGGAATAAAAGATGTGAGAAGATAATTGAATGGGAATATTCATAGGGGATCCATAGAGTAGATAAAATTAACTGACCCTCAGGTACACACAGCTTAAAACCATTAGTTTTCAAAAGTAAAGATTCTTTACCAGAGGAAGGAACTCAAGAAAATAAAAGCCTGAAAGAAATTCTACTCAAAGGTACTACTTATGGAATGAAGTGGTTGGGTTTTAAGCTTGGTCAGAACAATGGATAGTGATCTGCAGTGGTGATCTGCAGGCAATAATGTTAAAGGTTGAAAGGGTATTCACCTGAACCGTTAATGGAGTGATAAATCACTTCCGAAGTTGCACTTAGAGTTTTGGTATATTAAAACAAAATGGCGACGAGTGAGTTAGGTAAAGTTTTAGCTTTAGCGAATCATTTAAAATGTACAATATACAAATGTTTAATAAAGCACACATACCTAGGGTTAAAAAAAAAAAAAAAAAAAAAAATCCTATATTATAAAAATATATATTAAATTTAAAGAATATCTTTTTATTATAATCTGAAATAACTTATATATCAATATTGAAATAAAGGATTTTATTAATGACTGGAATTAAAAAAAAATTAGATTGAATTAGAGCAGATAGAAGAAAATTCAAAAACAATAAAAAAGAAATAAATTTGAAATAAATTGAAAAATCTTTTAAAATTAATTTAATCTTTAATATATTTTTCAAATTCAACAAGAAAAAAAGTTTTTTAATAAACTTAATATATAAAAAATTGTCTATATTTTAGATACTTAAAAAAAAATCTAAAATATATTTAATAAAGATTTACTCAAAATATAAAATTTGAAAAGAAACAACAAAATATTTATTTAGATATTTGATAATCAATCCTGAAAAATAAAAAATTTAAGAAGAAATAAATAAAATATTTATGAGATATATAATCAAAAAAGAAAAAAAGATTATAATAGATAATTGAAAGATTATTTGAGAAAAAATAGACAAATGGTTTAAAAAACTATAACAGCAAGATCAGAATTTTTATAACTTAATTTGTGAATACTTATATAAAAACAAAGTCAAGTTAATTCAAAAATATTTCAAAAACCAATACAAAATAAGATTAATAACTACAAGAATAATCAGAAACTTTGTTGATATATATAAAAAAGTTTTAAAAAAAAGATTTCAAACAATTGTTATGTTATTATAATTGAATAAGAAAAAATCTTAAGTATAATATTAAAAAACAAAATAAATAGAGTATCAAAAAGCAAGAGTATTAGTACTATAATAGACTTTGAAAAAGAAAATAGTTTACTCAATAAGAATAATATAAAGGATTCATATTATAAGAATATTATTTAGTTAAAAAAAGTTATTAAAAAATAAATAATATAAGAAAAAAAATAATTTGATTTTTAATCTACTAATAAAACTATAGATAATTTATAATAATGACTTGTAAGCATTAAACTCCATAGTTAAAGAATAATCCAAATTATAAAGAAAACAGAATATTATCTCTTAAGTTGTATTTAGAAAAAGAAATTTTAATAATAGGTAATCTAATATATAAAACTAATTATTTCCATTAATTTACAATAAAGATAATTATATTAACTTAATAGTAGTAGGTTAAAAAAAAAAAGAAAAAAAAAGTAACTCAATTAATTAAATATAAAATAAAAATTTATAAAGAAATTATATTTAATTATAAAAATACTATTGCAATATTTGATTTTTTTACAAAAGTTATATACTGTAAATTCAATTTTTTTTTTTTTTTTTTTTTTTTTTTTTCTTTCATTCTTTTCAATATAATATTAAGAAGACCTTACATACTTTTGAACTTGGAATTCCTTAGGAATATCACTTATATGAACTATTTTATAGATAATAAATAATTTTATTTTTTAATTTGTATAAAATTTAGGATTTACAAATTATCTGTAATCTCTACTAAGAATTATTTCGATCAATTAAATATAAAATTACTAATATAGTATACAATGATAGGATTCGTTCTATTTATTTTTTGAATATTTAAAAAGAATGTATTATTAAATAAATTAATATTAGATGATCATGCAGGTAATTTTCGTTCGAACCCCTGAATAACAACTCAAATCACTATACAGTATATAATACGTCACCTTCCACAGATAGTGTGTAAATATATTATTGGACCAAACCTTGTAGTAAGGGAATTTCTAAATTTTGTTCTTTCATAATGTCAACTGAAATTGATTATGATACTTTTTCCAATGCTAACCCTGAATCAGATCCCACCGCAGACTTTCTGGCGAGGGAACAAGCAGTCCTAGGGAATGACGCAGCATTTTTTTCGACATCCAGTGATCCCATCGAGATCAGCTCCTTTCCGGATATTTCTTCAACAACGGACCTTTTTGTTCCACCCACTAGTACTAAGTCTTCTAACAATGATTTACCCGATTACTCTGCCTTTCATTCTGAATTTCCCTCAGTAGATATTGATGGTGTTCAAGTGAGTGATTTAATCAGGCGCATAGCTGACCTTTGAGATCTGTCTAGTGTATAACCGAAGAGAATTTTTTCTTTATTTCTGAGCAGGCATCATATTCTAGTACAAACGGTCTGATGCCCTCAAACGGTAACCAATTTTACCAAAATTTCGACGAAGAAGAACCCGAGGCAATCCGGTAGATATATTGATAATATGTTAGAATTCGACGAAGATATATCATAATTACTTTGTGTTTGTCAAGTTTTTTGAAATCGCAACAAAATTTTATACAATTGTAACAAGCATTAATTTATAATAGACAATGGAGAGAACGACAGAAAGAAATTATTCATAAACGAGACCAAGAATCTGAAGCAAAAAGGCTAGAGACAATTTCTATCGCTCGAAAAGCAATTGATCAATTTTATGAAGAATACAATGAAAAGAAAGCACGAGCACATGAGACTAACAAGTAAATTGACTATTTGAATTTTTGATTTGATTTTTATGCAATATAATATCTGACCTCAAACTCATTTACTATAATGAAGGGAGGAGGAAAATGAATTTTTGCAGGAACGAGATGATCTCACTTCCGGTACAGCTTGGGAACGTATTTGCAAACAAATTGATCTCTCGAACCCTCAAAGTAAATCAACCGTTAAACACGTCAAAGATGTTAGTCGGTTTAAAGAATTGTTATTGAATTTGAAAAAGGATGAAAATTCACCTGGCGCAGGCGGATATTAGCAAGGGGATTGGTTTTATTATTATTAGGGTCATTAGAGTATATATCAATATAATGAAAGAATGTGGCATTTCAGCTTTTGCCAATACGACGGGAATTTTCGTAATATTACGGCACGCATCATAAGGGACATTGAAAATTCTGTTTTCTTTTGATTGATGATATACGAATTAAAATAGAAAAATTACGTTATTTTTACTTATTCTGTTGTAATCTTATTATATAACGTGTTGTCATGAGAAGAATTGTAGGAATTATACTACTACTTTTTTCGAAAGTCGAATTAAACTTCGGTTTTAGATTTTTAGAATCAAAATTTTAATATTGAGGGTCATATCGGATTCACTTAGCAGAAGGAATAAATATATTAAAAATAAAAACTAGAAAGTATAAGAAAAACAAATAACAATACACGATTCTCATATTAACATAAATACAAATTCGGATCGAATACGTTCAAGAAATTACTCTAATTTTTAAAGTCAATGATAGGTTATAAATCACAATAGAATATTGTGAATACTATGAATACAGTTATAACGTCATTTCATTCTTCTCAAATGTATACTGTATTCTGTGATTCTAGAATGCTCGAATTTTAATTTAAAGATTTTCTATATTTATATAAAATATTATTTGAAATTGATAATAGAATAATGAATTCGAAATTATATTAAGCTCATTGGCATGAATTGATATTAAATTAATACCTCGTGCTAGATGTAAAGATGGATCCCTAAAGGGGAAGGCAGGGAAAAAAATCAAATGTCCCTTATTAGGAAACATTAAAAATTTTAAACTAATAATTATAGTTTTCTATTATCAAAACCTTTGATTTACTATATATTATATACTGAATTTTGTTTCTACTAAAGTAAAAAGTTAGGAATTTTGTTTCTCAAAAAAAGATATAAGTAATTTGTAAAATTTTATATGCTAAATACTTTAGGGACTTATCCTTAGCTAGAGAATACTATTTTGCTTCCATTTCATATTAATTGTATATGATGACCTAGTACTTTGAGCAAATAAATTATCTTATACATTATTGATAAAATATTTAATTCCAATAGATTATTAAAACATACTATATTCAAATAATTCAAATCATCTCTTTCCCGTAGATCCATCTTTTTTTTCAAAATTTCCTTTTATGGTAATTTTTGGAAAAAGTCACAAAAAATCAAACGGCAAAGAGACAAACACCAT